TGGTGGCGTTTGTATTACAAATGTCCTCCTGACAGCAGAAAGGGACTCTGGAAGAGGAAGGTCTTGGCACCTCCTACAGATTTTGGATTTCTCTGATCTCCTCTTGGGGCTGAAAATGTCTCCTCTCTGCCACTTCAAACAGGGATGACAAAGCTGATTTGTGCCACAAATGTAAAGAAAATAAATCAGAACAGTTTGGGTTGGAAGGGACCTTGAAGACCACCTCGTTCCACCCCCCTGCCCTGGGCAGGGACACCTCCCACCAGCCCAGGTTGCTCCAAGCCCCGTCCAACCTGGCCTTGAACACCTCCAGGGATGGGGCAGCTACAGTTTCTCGGGGCAAACAACCTTGAGCCTGCTGGTTTTGTCTTCATCGAAAAGAATCTGGGAAAATTATTAATCCATAAAGCTGAGGAGATCTTTGATGCTTAAAAAAGGCGAAAAAAGGAATTGAAACAGTTTGGTTTGGTCTCCCTGCCTCCTCCCAGGCTCCGCAGCCAGCGCGTGACTGCAGACGGGAATGCACGCCCCGGCGGGGCTGAGCTCTGCCACACCGGGCACATCCCACCTAACATCCAGCAAGGGAGCCAGCATCTTTCTTCACCTCTGTAGGCACATACAGACGGGTGCTGTAGGGGATTCTCCCCCAGTTCGACCAGGACAGTTACTGACAAACACCCCACGCTGCCACCAAGCAGGCGACACGAGAAGGGACACGCTGCCACGGAGGTACCCTCAGCTGCCAGAGCCACCGCTGCCCGCCCAACGCCTGCCCAAGGTCTGTAAAAATCGTGGTCTTCAGGCCGAGAACCCCTAAGAATCACAAGATCGACAACCGACTGCTCAAAACCCCACTCTGTTAAATTAGCAAGCATCTGACAAAAATTCTGACGACAAAGTCAGCGGGTGCCCGAGCAGTGACAGTGTTCCTGGTGAAGCCCAATCCACCGCAGCGTAAGAAGCAGTGCCAAATCTGAGTCCAATTACCAAATGCATTCAAAGCCCATTTATGGATGAAGATACGTTTGCCTGCATCACTCTCATTACAGAGTCCACAGATTTTGAAGAAAGAAATGAAGTTTCTCAGTTCAATCCACATAAAAATTGAAGTATCTGACTCGGAAGAGAGGGAATTTCTAATGGGCTGTGACATTACAAAGTCTGCATTAATATTTATCTGACAGGAGAGTATGACTCTCATGTGAAAGTAATGCTCTTTCCCCCCCAAAAAAGCAGCAATAAAATCCTCAGCGGTTCATCCCCATTTTTATCCTTCTGCCCTCATTTTGGTGTTTGCTTCCCAAATCCCTGTGCCTCCTCTTAAAAAAAAAAAACCCACCTCAGTTGCCAAGGAAACCCAGTGAGCCGGGAACTGGCAGGGTTTAGCACTACTAAAAAGAGCTCCGGGAAGGCAGTTAAAGTCACAGTTAGAAATGGATAGCCTCAGCCACGCACACACCAACAGACAGAGAACCTCCGTGCCCACGTCACCGCCGGGTGACTCCCCACGGCGGCCAGCTCACCCCGGCTGGCGGCAAGGCAGCCGCTCAGCGCGACGGAGCCGCCCCGTTGGCAAGCGTGCACGGGGTACAACTCCTCCCTAGCGGCTTTGTGCTTATCTCCCATTCCTTTTGCTGTATTTATACGTGTACAGCACACATCAGCTGGGACCCTGCAGGGTCCTGAGCGCTACAGCAGGTCTACAGCCGTTGAGGACAAGCAGGAGAGCTGGTGCCACGATACTGCCAACCAGGCACCAAAAATGAGAAGAAAACGGTGTTAAAACTGGCAGGAACCGTTGCCTCCCCACATCCTCTTGCCGTTTTAATAAGGAGGAATCCAGGCCAAATCCGTTCTCATTTTTCATATGGCTATGGCATAGCAGGGACGAGCCCAGGCCCTGAATTTTAAATTACCCTGTTAAGATTGTCAGCCTTCTCCTTTTTCATCCAAAGAGGGAGGACCGCTTCATCCTTTCTCTCCATTTTAATGCTTTTCATAACAAAGCCAGAAGAGGAGCTGCCCCGCAGAAGCAGCTGTGGCCTGGCTCTCCGCAGGTCCCAGTGACAGGGCAGAAACCTCCTGGTTTTGACCAGAAATGTCACCCCGCACACCCTCCTCACTTGATGAGCCCTTAGCTTGTTCTCAGGAAAAGATCCGGCCAACCGTATCCTGGGCTGCACCAGAAGTGTGGCCAGCAGGTCAATCACCTCCAGGCAGGAGGTGATTCTGCCCATCTACTCCACTCTGGTGAGACCCCACCTGGAGTACTGCCTCCAGCTCTGGAGCCCCCAAGATAAGAAGGACATGGACCTGCTGGAGCGGGGCCAGAGGAGAGCCACGAGGATGATTCGAGGGCTGGAGCACCTCTGCTATGAGGAGAGGCTGAGAGAGTTGGGGCTGTTCAGCCTGGGGAAGAGAAGGCTCCAGGGAGACCTTATTGCGGCCTTCCAGTCCCTAAAGGGGCTCCAGGAGAGCTGGGGAGGGACTTTTTACTGGGGCATGGAGTGACAGGATGAGGGGGAATGGCTATAAACTGGAAGAGGGCAGGTTTAGATTAAACATTAGGAAGAAGTTGTTCACTTTAAGGGTGGTGAGGCACTGGCCCAGGTTCCCCAGGGAGGTGGTTGAGGCCCCATCCCTGGAGGTGTTCAAGGCCAGGCTGGAGGTGGCCTTGGGCAACCTGGGCTGGTGGGAGGTGTCCCTGCCCAGGGCAGGGGGTGGGAACTCAATGGTCTGCAAGGTCCTTTCCAACCGAAACCATTCTGTGATTCTATGATTCTCTTTCAGAAAACCAATAGTTACTAATTATACAAAAAAACTCTTCTTAAAAACTTCCCACCTACTTTTAGCTTTTACTGTTTTTAATACACACAGTCCCCAGCTATTGAAAAAGTACACATTTTAAAACATTGATTTTTTTTTTTTTAAATGAAACACAAACAAAAGATGCTAATTCCATATAAATGTTGGACAGTTTCTGCCCAAGCTGCCCCGAGACCAAGATGGCTCTGTGGGCACGAGGGGGCACTTGGCTGAAAAATACCGTACTGAGTTACATTTCTGTGCCAGTTTTGGATATGAGTTAAGTCTATTTATAATAAAAAAGATGAAATAACACAGGCAATGACTAAGGGCTCTACGTCTTAGGTATGAAACTAATAATACTATTTGCAATATGATAAAGAAAATGAGTATCACGCTTCAACATTTTCTTTTCTTTTTGAAAACCCCACTCTACGGAAGCAAACTACCCTCCGAAGTTATAATGTGATAACCACACGTTTTGGAGGCTGAAAACTCCCCCCTGACGCTCAGGCAGTCGCTTTACCAAGACGTAGGATTACCAGATTATAAGGCATGGGGAGCAGCGCTCGCCAGGCGGCTCCATGCCCCGCACAGCCCCTGCTGCGCGCAACCTTCCACCTGGCACTTACGAGGTTTTCCGGCTCGAAGCCTCATCAGCAGAGCGCAAAGTGAAGCCGCTCCAGAGGCAGTTGGCTGAAAAGCAGCTCTGGCGGCGTTTGAACTGAAGTTGCTCAGGCAGAGAAACCAATCTGATGGTACGTGAAAGGCGGAGGAGGGCAGAGGAGGGCAGGATGCGAGAGAGAGAATGGGAGGAGAGCGTTTGAAAGAGGGAGGGGAATGAAGGATGCAAGGAAGGAGACGTGGAAATGGAAAATAAAAAAGGTAAGGAATAAAGGGGGACGTGAAAAAGGAAAAAGGATGGAAGGAAATGAAGAGAAAACATGTAAGAGACATGTAATGTATAGCCGAGTTATGCATTTCTAGTGTAACTCATCACAAGCACGCCTCCCAAAGACAGAGAGCAGAATCAGGCATCCTCCTGCAAGCACAAGGCTCCACCATTTCTCTGTCATAGTAATTAAAGATCAAAGAAAACCAAAACCCCTAAGAACACCATCGCAACATTAAAAGAAAAAATAAAAAATCAATTGGTCAAGTGATTTCGCTGGACTCCACAGCCGGTATCTCTCTACCAGAACTGTGTGTGTGTCTCCACCCCTCCACTGCTGATGTCTGTGAACTACATCTTCCAGGTATCACACCCGCCACAGCTCAGGCTGTCGGTGGAAGGGACGCGCTTCACGGGAACTAAAGAGCCAATGTTGTCATCGACTGACAAACCAAAACTGAACCTCAACCGGAAGATGTCGGAAAAAGCTGCAAGTCCTCACTGGCTCCATCTTTGTTGGACTCCTTTATGCTCACAGTACTATGTAACAAAACTCCACAAAAGCCAAAAGAAGTCAGAAAGCGTACGAGTAGAAGCCATTCGGCACTCTGAGCTGCACCCCTAGGTGACAGCACTGCTAGTTTAAAGGTGGTGCTTACTATGTTTTATAACAGTGAAGCATTGAAGGAATGCAACAGAGTTGACTGCTGTTCAGTCCTGGGAAGCGATCCTGCCTTTTCCACAAACTTAAAAAAAATCCCAGGATTTGGAAAGAGAGACTTCACAGTAGAGCCCAGGGTGACGCTAGACTTAACAGCGGGTTTGAAGGGTGGAAGCGGACTTTTAAAAAAATAAAAAAAGTCTTGTTCATAGCAGCATGGAAGGAATGCGCTGCTACAAGAGACCTTTTTGGACGAGACAGCAGGTCGGAGCTCCAGGCTGGCTGGGTCCATGGAAATCTTGAGATGCTCTTTGGAGAAGAGGAATGACTTCCTCTGTGCAAGCCACATTGTACCTGATGGAAACGCGTCATGCATCCTTAGATCATTCCGCCCCTGGAAAGGGAGGCAGAGTTATTCCTGCCTCTTCCTCCATTGCAGTGAAATGCTGCCCCGTGTTACAAGTTCAGCACTTCTTTCCATCTCAAAACTGTCAGTACAATGACACGTTTCCTATATATGTCAAACCTACCCTGTGAAAAGAGGGAAGATGAAAAATATTCTAATTGGAAAAATCATACTGACTCCTCTCACTCGGGCACTCGCCGTTTGTAGGTCACCCACTGCCTGACTAAACGCCTTACCGTAAAGTCGAGTGTCTGCCAGAGCGGGACACGCTGTTGCCAACCGGCGAGGGTAAATTACTGCCTCTGTGCAGGTCCTCAATAGATCGGCTCCAAGGTTTGGACTTGTCCATCGAGTTTTCCACATTGTTCTCCAAACTTTCAAAGTCAAACCTGAAAGGAAGCAGAAATTCCAACGCTGGGTTAGACAGAAGAGCTGCACGTAGCATTTTCCTTTCTGTTCAACATCTGCGGGTTTCAGCGGGTCCCCAAAGCTCACAAAAGCAAAGGAAGAAAGCAACGCAGGCTTCACTTCCCCTCGGCTCCAATTCAGCGCGAGCTTCAAACACACGGTGCAGCAAATTCGGACCTTGACAAAGGGAGCAGCCAACCACACAAGCATACCATTTCAGAAGGATCAAACAGCTACGTATTATTCTACCTCAATGTAAAGTAAATACATCGGCTGCTTTGCTGATGCCCTGCCTCGAAGGAAAGAGGGGGAATGCTTAAAGCTGTCTCCATTTTATTTCAATAAATCCATACGTTGTGCAAGTACTAATGCAGTTTCCGCCATCAATATGTGCACGAGCATTTACACTGCCTTGTTGGTGCTCACGAATCTCCCAGCATATGTAACAGATTACCATAATCATTACAGATTTTCTTTGATTTCTGACTCGCTGCCCATCGTACTGCTATTTCAAGCAAAAATTGCTTGTTCCCCTTACAGCTTTTGAGGTTATTACTCATGTTTACCACGTTACAGAGGGGAAAAACCCAGCAAGCTAACTTGCGTACATTTGTACAATTTTAGGAAGAAAGTCTTTATACAAACGCTTCTTTTTGCTGTGCACAGTTTTTTCCAGTTAGTGACATTTTAAAACATATAATTTTCCTCCATTAATTTTATTGCAACCCCACCAAAAATCTCTTTTCTATGCAATGATATATATACATCCAATGGCATCTTTTCTAAAAATAAAATATTAACTCTAGTCAGCTTCAGTTCCTAACTACAACAGTATCTTTAACCTGCCGCTTCTTTTCGTACAATTTGCTAGAAAAATCTGCTGCTACAATATCCTGAAGTGACAGTCTGTGGATATACAGAAACAGATCCTCTGCTGAACAACTATTTCACATTGTGTGATATAACGACTAATGAAAGCGGATTTGTTTCTCAATTTGTTCTAATAGTCACTAATTTCATCAGATTCAATAATCATTAATAATTTTATTATTTACTCCCTAAATGACTACACCTGACTCCTGGCTAACCAGATGTCGGCACCGCAAAAGCCGGTTTCATAGTCCTCCCGACTTGCAAAATCACCTTGAAACTCCCATTCCTGTCTCGCAGCGCATCTGCTGCACAGGATCACAGAATCCCAGAACCCCAGACTGGTGAGGGCTGGAAGGGTCCTCTGGAGCTCCCCCAGTGCCACCCCCCGCCAGAGCAGGGGCACCTCCAGCAGTGGCACAGGACGGCGTCCAGGCGGGTTTGGGATGGCTCCAGAGGGGGAGACTCCCCCACCTCTCTGGGCAGCCTGTGCCACTGCTCTGCCGCCCTCA